ATAAATAATTAGTTAAAAATAATAAATTATTAAAATAATTTATGATAGTTCCTTTCCTTGTAATCACAAAAGAAAAAAATAAAAATTTATATAATTTATAATTTAATTAAGGAATAACTATTAATACAACCAAACAAACCCTAAAAATATTTGTTTCTGCATTTTTATCCGTGTCAACTAAAAAAAAAAAAGCCATAAAAAGAAAGGAAAAAAATTTAAATGTAAAATGAAACCTAAAATATAATCTTAGTTATACTCAAATAAAACAGGAAAATGAAAAGAGAACTTGAAAAATGTAAATTTCTTTTAAAGTCTAATAATATAAAGCATGAAAGAAAGGCTGGTTATTGTAACAGTTTTTAAAAATTGCAAGAACCTTTTAAGTTTTAAAGAAAGAGAAGAGAAACAGTGTATTTTAGATTGTTAATATTTAGAAGAAAAAAAGGTTATATAGTTAAAGTATTTGAGGGATTTTAGTTTTTTAAAAGATAAATGGGAGGTGTGGTTACACATGGTGGATTTAAATCCATTTATTATAACAAATTAAGTGTAGTTTATTTTTTTAATAATAGATAAGTATTATAAGGTATATTTATATTTATAAGTATAATGTTTTTTTTGAACAGCAAAACTTTATTGATAAAGAGTACAAGGGGTACTCAACCTATGCATTTACACAAACAACAGAAAACCCAACCACTTAATGTTAATTCCATCTTTCAGACTATTCCTCCCTAGCATTTACCACCACAATTCACAGTGAGGCATGCAATAGGATTGCTTAACCAATCCGAAAGAGTAAAGTAACACCAAGCTTTTTTTGCTTTAATCCATAAGAACGATCGAATTTGAACCAGTTCGAATAGCTTACCCGAGTTCATCTCATGGTTCTGGAAAATCCTTTGATTCCACATAAGCCAAATGGACCATACTATTGCACTCCAGGTGCAGTCCCATCCTTTTATGATCCTCATGTTTCTGGTCCACGCCCCAAGTTGTTCAAAAGTCTTCCAGCAGTCCTCTTGTGTCTCTATATTGATCCCCCACCACCTAGCACACTCCTTCCATATCCATCTTACATTTTTGCATTTCAGAAACAGATGGGTTGCATCTTCTTCCTCTTCTTGACACAAGTTGCAATTGCCATCACCCATGATCACGCCTAATCCTCTTTTCAGCAAGTTGGATTTGGTTGGAAGTCTATTGAGCAGCAGTTGCCAGTTGAAAGCAGAGATCTTGTTTGGCAGGTTGGGGTTCCATATTCTCCTGAAGACTTTTTCTTGATTCGGACACCTTGACACCTTTGTCAAGAGTGAGTACGCTGTTTTAGTTGAGTAACGGGAGTCCTTGCTGTGTATCCACTCCCATTCATCAGGCCGGCCAGGAGATATTTTCACACCCTCGATCAACGTGTTGAGTTCCGTTGCACCCTCTTCTTCCCTTTCGAGCAACTTCCTTCTCCATGTAAGAATCCATTTCCAAGTTCCATTGCACATAGTTCCCATTTGGCAGCAATCTTTCTCCTTTCCTGCAGATAAGAGATA